AAGTAAGTAAGTAAGTAAGTAAGGTGTAGTAAGTAAGTAAGTAAGTAAGTAAGTAAGTAAGTAAGTAAGTAAGTAAGTAAGTAAGTAAGTAAGTAAGTAAGTAAGTAAGTAAGTAAGTAAGTAAGTAAGTAAGTAAGTAAGTAAGTAAGTAAGTAAGTAAGTAAGTAAGTAAGTAAGTAAGTAAGTAAGTAAGTAAGTGCATAAGTGCATAAGTAAGTAAGTAAGTAAGGTAGTAGTAAGTAAGTAAGTAAGTAAGTAAGTAAGTAAGTAAGTAAGTAAGTAAGTAAGTAAGTAAGTAAGTAAGTAAGTAAGTAAGTAAGTAAGTAAGTAAGTAAGTAAGTAAGGTGTAAGTAAGTAAGTAAGTAAGTAAGTAAGTAAGTAAGTAAGTAAGTAAGTAAGTAAGTAAGTAAGTAAGTAAGTAAGTAAGTAAGTAAGTAAGTAAGTAAGTAAGTAAGTAAGTAAGTAAGTAAGTAAGTAAGTAAGTAAGTGCATAAGTGCATAAGTAAGTAAGTAAGTAAGTAAGTAAGTAAGTAAGTAAGTAAGTAAGTAAGTAAGTAAGTAAGTAAGTAAGTAAGTAAGTAAGTAAGTAAGTAAGTAAGTAAGTAAGTAAGTAAGTAAGTAAGTAAGTAAGTAAGTAAGTAAGTAAGTGCATAAGTGCATAAGTAAGTAAGTAAGTAAGGTGTGTAAGTAAGTAAGTAAGTAAGTAAGTAAGTAAGTAAGTAAGTAAGTAAGTAAGTAAGTAAGTAAGTAAGTAAGTAAGTAAGTAAGTAAGTAAGTAAGTAAGTAAGTAAGTAAGTAAGTAAGTAAGGTGTGTAAGTAAGTAAGTAAGTAAGTAAGTAAGTAAGTAAGTAAGTAAGTGCATAAGTAAGTAAGTAATTAAGTAAATAAGTAAGTAAGTAAGTAAGTAAGTATGTAAGTAAGTCAGTAAGTAAGTAAAATAGATTTGAAGATTTAAATAGTGTTGTGTGTGAAGATATGGGATTGTAGTTTACTGATTGAATTGAAAAGCCGATAATAACATTCAAAATTCTAATTTAGTTATAGGACTAAATTTAATTGCTTTCGCTAAACTAAAGAGGAATGCATACATAGATGTTTACATCCGTTATTGTAATTCAATTTACAGAACTATTTCCATATAGTAGTCGTAACTGTTAATAAAAAGTGTAATTAGACAATTTGAAATTGGATTTATGTGGATTAGTTTACTAGTCAAGTTTTTCTAGACTGGAATAATTGGTCGAAATCTGTCAGTAAAATTAAATTATTAAAGTTAATATTATTATTATTAGCAGAGATTGATAGTGACTAGTAGTGAAGACCAGAAAGCGTGTTTCGTCCTATTTGGGGCTCGTCAGCTGGGAAGTATATCAGAGTTGATATTCACATCTAGATCTGAACTCAGTGTTTCGGAGTGATCATCAACTCTGGGACATAGCAGGTACATTCAGCCGATGAGTCCTAAATGGGACGAAATACGCTTCCTAGAAATGCGGGTCCTAGAATCCACTGCTAGCCACTATCCACTTTTACTGATAACGCCTGTAACCTGATGGCAGTATCAAGGCAATCCATACAAGGTGCACTTATGTCGAGACAGACTACCAAACTACCAATACAAATAAATGACTGAGTAAACATTTTCGAACAATGCAGAAAAATAAGTTGCTGAATAAACTTTTTAATTTCTAATTACACTAACCAATAATCAGTTATTAAAATATAATTGAACAATTGAAATTATTTACAGTTAAACTAAAAACGAAATAAGAAAAAGACAAAAAAACTTTCAAAACGAAAGTAAATGATTTATTTTTTTTTTTGAATTTTCGCCAAATCAACATTGGTACAATGGAAAACTAAGAACGGAAATGACTGAATTAGTGAGTGGGTGAGTGAGTGAATGAGTGAGTTAATGGTTGAGATTTCACGCGTGACTAAAAGCATTTGAATGACCTCTTGAAAAATGAAATCATTTTGTTTTTATCAACAGATTGTTTTTTTTTCTTATTTCAGCTAATTTTTTCTTATGATTCTACTACGTTTTGTACGTAAGAGAAATAAAGAAAACTTTGAATATATATCACTGATCAGTGAAATGTATTAGTCTAACGATAAGTATATCAAGACTTCCATAATTCTGTTATAGCTCATTAGTGACTAGCTTTGTGAGAAATTTCTCGGAGTTCTAGTAAGAAACCATAACTAGTGGAGCTCAACCTTGTTGGGTATAGGCAGTATAACTACTACTGAAGACAATGAGTGAGGTTACACTAAATCCGTAGACGGATCAATGTTAGACAATAACACCGCTGAATGATCGGCTCAACTGTCCAGAAGTTAGGTGTTCACACACAAAGCCGAAAGTCATGGGTTCAATTCCTGCAAGTAGCAGCAATCTTCGATGTACAACGCTGATGAGTCCCATGGTAGAATGAACCGGCCGTCCAATGCTTTCAGATTTCTAATGATAGTAGTCTAATGATGATTGATTCATGATTTCGATCATATATATATATATATATATATATATATATATATATATACATATATATATATATATATATATATATATATTTGAAACCATGAATCGATCAATGTTAGACCACTGGACGACCGTTTCTTCCTGGCATGGGACTCTTCAGCGCTGCGCATCCACGATTACTGCACCTCGCAGGATTCGAACTCGGGACCTTCGGTGTTGTAGGCGAACGCCCTAAATGTTAGACCACTGAGCCGGTATCTAACGGTGTTAATGTCTAACTTGATCAAATTCACGGAGTTGCGCAACCTCATACACAGTCTTCGGTAGACACTGCCTACACCCGAACAGGTTGAACTTGACTGGTCACGTCTTCCCACTAGAACTCGGAGAAGATTCCTCACCGGTCTAGTCACTAGTGAGCACAGGTAATTTGCATGACCGTGTTGTGAAGATTGTTAAGTTACACATTTTTGAAACCATGATCTAACATTGATCGATTCATGGTTTCAAAAATGTGTAACTCAACAATCTTCACAACCCCGTAATGCATATATATATATATATATATATATATATATATATATATATATATATACATATATATATGTACGAAAGAGCTTAGAAATAACTGTCAACTTTTATTTAAAAAAAAACTGTTATTCTATCGTGTTTAATATTGTTTTATTTTTGAATTAAAATCAAGATTAATGGTTAGAGTACTTTTTGAAAATGTTGTTTTCAAGTTTGACTATATATCTTTAGTGTTGTAATGATTGTTGCATTTCATACTTTTACAACATTATTATAACGGATTGACTTTTTTTTCAAATAAACTATTCAATTTTAAAAGTTAGACAGCTGCATTAGTTTGTTGCGTGATAGACAAATATCATTGATATAAAACTGAGTGATAGCTACTGAACTAAGCACGAAATGTAAAAGCGTTAGTTATCGATTCAGTGGTATAAACTTAAATAATTCTTGCGTTCTATCTTTGACGGATTTATGAATGTGTATTACTGAGGACTGTCAAACTAGCATGAAACAGTAGAATTAAAACTTTCTAGTTTTAAAAAACATCTCTAACTAAAAACAGCTCGTGATGTAAACTAACAATTTTTTTGTGAGTGAAGCTAAGTTTTCAGTCAATTCAACTTATTTCCTCGTAAGTACTTCATAAATGTATTTTTATCCCAGTACTAATGTTCATATTGAGACTGGAATTGAATACTTGTGTACTTTATTATTATCTGTTGGATTTCGTAATTCAAGTATATACCAGATTGTATAAAATAGTACAGCAGTTGTCAGTATTAATGACTACAGTCGTCCGGTTTCTATTTCAGTCTCAATGTGAACAACACCGCTGAGATGAAGGCATATTCAACTGACCAGTTTCATGTAGGGAAGAATGTGCATCCCTGTTTTGAATAATTGTTGCTATCTTATTTGAATAAATACTTGTGACGAATTGAAAATATCTGGTCAGTCAGTTTAGGATGCCTGTACACTGTGGTTGCCAGATGGGACATCATTCTCGTGACTTCCAAAGAGACACCGTTTGTGTCATGAGGCGTCATCCACTTGAGCTACAAATCTTCTTTACCATCTCGGCGTCATAACTCTTGTAAATCAGGATCTTCCAACTTCCAGGGACGAGTTTAAATGCTTTAATTATTTGTTCTGGTTAGCGTTGTTTTGGGCACGTTAGTTTTTCTCCTGGATGTGGTCACTAATCCTTTCTCCAACCATTCTCCTTTATCCGGCTTTGGGACTAAGAGTAACTCCAGAACAGCTCCAGGCAGAGTGTAATATCAGGTTGTTGTGATCTAATAGTGTTTAAAATAACTTTACGTAATTATTAAACAGTATGCATAACATTAGTCTCCATTAATACACTTATTTACTTGAGTTGGCTACTCCAGTGTTCACTTTTTTCCAATTATACTTAGAAAAAAGGCCGTTAAATAATTAATTTATAAAATTCTCATTAACTGCCTTTGCAAAATCGATATCTAGAACAGAATACTAAGGGAATTGTAGCATTGGTCGATTTCAATTAATCATGCCAAAGTTTTACTATTAATGATAATTGAGCGTATCTTTTTTCTAGTTCAATTTTTGGTTTGACCTTTGTTGTTTTACTGGTTTAACTGTCACTACTTTAACTTTGCTTATTTCCTGTACGCTTGAAATTTATGCTTCCGCTACTATACATTAAGACTTAGAACCATGTCAAGTTTTCCTGTACACTTCATCTACTTCTTGAATCGATGTCTAATGACGGCAGTGTTGGATTACAACTGACATAATCGATTAACGCAACAGAACCTTCCATATTAGTATCTTACATTTGCAAATATCATAGACTGACTATACATCGTTTAAACAAAACACAACGTAGAAAGATATTGATATTTTGTGTGATAAAAAAATTAATAATCATTGGTTGAATTAAGCTTTATTCATCCTCCAGAAAACACGATAATCATCTTAACTTAATGCACTTATTTTCATGTCGATTTTACTGAAATATACTACTGCTACTTACACTACTACTACTACTACTTACAATACTATTACTACTACTACTACTACTACTACTACTACTACTACTACTACTACTACTACTACTACTACTACTACTACTACTACCACTACTACTACCACTACTACTACCACTACTACTACTACTGCATATAACAGAGAACTCAGATCATACTCAATAATTATGAAGAATATTTTATTGAATAGCTATGCTGTACTACTATTTAAAGCTGAAGGTTTCCTATTAGACCAGAGGTTCGCTGTGAACATTTAAGGGATGTTTTGGCATTGCCTAGGCAGGTATTACTAACAGTCCATATATAAATTTGGTTAGCAGGGTAACAGATTTCATTGATACCGCTGGTGGTTGCTTTGCAACATTCATGAGGGACGATTGTCATCGGAGGTGTTGTATTGTATTTCACCGTTGCTGATAATAATGAGTTTGACAGTCATGTAAGCGGGATGGGTCGAATTGGTCTGTCCATAAGGAGCATATTGATTGACATGATCATGATCGCAATAATCACTATAAATGTAACTGATGTCGATAAATGTGTGTGGTCCTTTAGGGGGATATGTTAACTATGTGGTTGCTCCATGGGATTGAGTCGAATTGTTCACATTGAAATGCTAACATGTGAGCAGTCTCC